AAGATTCCATTGTTGCCATCTTGTTAATCACCCTGATTACAGCGGCCGATAGTGGAATAGACCGGCCAATCGAAAACAACATCATTGTCGATCTTTCGTACGGAACAAGCGATATTCCCAGTCGTGCTGTAACGTACCTCCTCAGAAACCGGTACTCACAAGGGACTCACAGAACCGGTACCGTAGCTCTTCCGAGTGACGTACTTGACGCACCTCTGTTCCGAAAGCAAGCCGAGTCACTGATCCGCCTCGATCCTCACAATTTCGAGGAAATTCCGAACTCTTCAGGAACCCGGAAAGCCTCGAAGATACCGTGGCTCCGTACGGATCTTTCATCCAGCCTATAACAGGTACTCGGAGCACCACGGCAACACCTTTCGACCTGTTAACAAGGTATCCAAGGGTAGTAGAGGATAGAGAAGGTCCTGCTTAGTCATCTACAAGCAGTGCAGCTTCCCAAATCCTCATTTTGGATTTCTGTGGTTGTGTTTGTACAGCACCTCTCCAGCCACACATACACACACCAACACCAACAATACTCATCCAACCGGTACCCTTCCAAGGAACAGCAGGCAACACCACTACACTACCACTACACCCTTACACTGTCTAGCCAGCGCACCAATCATCATGGGCCGCAAGAAGAAGAAGCAGCAGCAGGAAATGGATGCCAGTGACACCATGTCACTAGCAGCATCCAATGGCACCAACACACAGGACAACACCTACAGATCCAGTACTGCAGAGGAACCAGCTCCAGCTCCAGCTCCTCCTGTCAGAACACCTGTGGATCCCCCAGGCTGTTTGTTACCACCACACCACAGCGCCATCCCCAGCTTGGCTTCCTCCAATCTAGCCAACCATGACACAACAACAATGATCAGCCAACCTTTTGGGCAGCTGACATTGGCATTGACAGAGGCATCAAAGCAACTGCCCTTGATTCCTTCAATGCTCCTCTTCCCTCCATGGCATACATCCCATGGCTCTATTCCTAGAACACCTGTGTTATCCTCAAGCCCAGCCCTGAGTTAAAGGCTGGGAGGACCGATCAGAACCAGGCAGTTTGGAACAAAGCTTGTTGGGTGATGTTAGGACCCTCTTGGTTATCCATTCCAACTGCATTGTTGCCATGGATGTTGCCTCTCATCTATTGGAGATGGCTACTATGACCAAGTATGGGCCCCAATGGGAGGAATACACCCCCAACCAACAACAATCCCATCACACCCAGGGTGAGGACACTCCCATCAAACCTGCGTCCTCCACCATCCAACCTACTGGAGTGTCTCATCCCAGACACCGTGTATTCAGCCATCCCTCCAATAGCCAACCTTTTGTGCCTTGGAGGAGCAGTCAAAGAGGAACTCCATTCCCAATCCTCTGGGGAGCCAATGGCCACAACCACAGGTGAAGCAATCCATCTTCTCCCACATGCATGGCATGTCTCCCATGAAAAGGATGCAGGGAAGAAGTCCCAACAATGTAGCAGGTCCTGTTGGTTCAGAAAATCCAGACTGCTTTGGCGGCAATCCACAAGGTAATGACAACGTGGCCAAGGAGATCCTGATGGCACTGATCACTGTCCTGGAGGAGGTGGAGGCGGTGGCAATCCAGAACTCGGAAGTCAGGTACTTCCGTGCCAAGGCATATGCCACAGCCTACCCTATCTTAGTATCCAACAGGAGTTGACATCTTGGTATGATGCTTTCATCGTCACTAGCCAGAGCACAAGGCTTCTACAAGGTCTTCGACAACTGAATATGTTCCCATGACTGCCTGAGTATTTGCAGAACTCCTACGGATGAACCGTGTATCTATTGCTGTCCTCCGAACACTGTCAAGACAACCAATGGGATGTCATCATGAAGTCTCACTTCCATGATGCTGATTGCCTTTGCAATCCTGTGGAACTGATCAGGATGCACTGCATCAGTAGCAGGCTCCCTGGACATGTTGAGGTCCTTCATTGGCTTTCAAGTGTCCAGTACAGTCCAAGGCAGGGCTCTGATGTTGACTTTGTCATCAAGTTTTGACGAGACCATCACCCACTACAATGATGGTCACCGAGATCCTAGCGACAAGCTCAGTGACAGCATGCAGAAGCTGTTCCTGCAGCGTGCCTTCACTCGATGTCCAAGTCCTGAACTACATCAGTCCCGTGAGCGATGAAATAATGTGCCGTCATGGCTCCCCAAGAACGCTTCACTAACGAAGCCTACAAGGAGAACTCAAGAATGCCGCCACACACTACGATGTCAACCGCCGTGTTCCCGACTACCAACTAGCCAACCTAGGGACTGTTGGTGTGGAACCAGGCCATACCGGTGATGGGGGGCAGCAAATCCTCGGACTCCCAAGTAAAGATTGGTTCAAGCTTTCACCCGCCGGCCGCCAAACCTGGTGCAAGTTCTCTGATGCCGACAGACTAGTCCTGATAGGTTCGACGCCGCCTGTAGTTGATCCCAAGAGTGAAGCTGACCCAGCAGTCGGGGATACCTTGGACTCTCCCATGGCAGAAGACAAAGCCTTCAAGGGCAAGTCCAAGATGGATTTTTGCCTGGGCAATTAGTGTTTGTGTCGCACTGTTTGAGCCCAAGGTACCCATGCACCGGCCATGGCTGCGTGGTAGCATGTCACCCTCATATGGGCTACCTTCCGCAGGAAAGGGCACCGTATGACAAGTCACCTTGCTAGATTTGTCATAATGATTCAAGCATACCGTATTGTGATTTACAACTTGTATATTGTCACCAGTGGTGTTAAAAGACTCATCTCTGCCTTAGATGTATGTGTTGTAACGTTTTTGTCACCACCGTATTGAGCAATAATGACTAACGATTTCTGATGCCCCTCTGAACTTTATGGGGAGACAAACAGATGGCTTCTAATCCAATTCCAAGCTATGGGGCAAGTATGGGGAGACCAAGTGGCATCCTTACTGACGTCCAAGTGCAATAGGTTCCTTGTGAATGGGGAGTATCTACAGATAGCCTCAAGACATATTCAACACACACCTTCGCGAGTGACCAACCCAAGGTGGATGTGTATTGTCCATCCCAATAAGTACCTCTGCGCACACTACGTCCGTCCTAGATCCTAACACCTTTTCTCTCTTGGAAAACGATGGCAACCCAATGGATTTGCTTTGGAGCCAGCCGTGTACTTTGGAGGGTTTGAGATAACAAGTGTGATGTCCCTTCCTTTGTCCCAAGTGGGTACTCAGCTATGGACACCTTGATGAATTCAAGAGGGCTGCTGACTTTGTATTAAGTCACAGCCAAGGTCCAAACTGAGGAACCAGATGCTCCCATTTTTGTGGGAATGTCGAGGAATTACCCAGACATAGAGAAGCTTGTTGACGCCCCCGTTTGATGACTCGAATTCAGCGATGAAATTAGCAATAGGAGCCTCTATGGTGCGCCACAGCTGGCTGGTTTAGTCGGATGGAAACAATGTTTTATCGTGTACAGTCAATCAGTACACACAGCATTGCAGCCATGTGACAATTTGTATATAGCTGAGGCATGCCTATGTGTGCAGAGCATACATAGCCTTCAGCCTAGATACATGAATGTCCAGCCAACAGTCCTCTCCTAGGTCTCCAACTTGGATATCCTCTCCAAAAGAGCCAGTTCTGTCAACTGGAGTGAAATCGTGGTAATGTTGTTTAGCTTATAGTAAGAAAGATAGTAATGAAAGATAACCCCTGAGACCCAGTAGCACCCCAGCCCTGCAGTAGATAGATTCTGTGTGGTATGTGCTAGGCAATGTAACCAGCTCCCCAAGTACTTTGAAGATGATTGGGTAGCATTGATCCAGCTCTTTTGAGCTGGCCTTTCAGCCGTGGAGGAGATCTTCATCAACCAGAGATCTCCCTCCCAGCTCTTGTGTTCTACAACTGAGCATCCCTGGCAGAGTCATAGCCTCACATGAAAATCCGAGTTCAGCAGGATGGCGCTCCTGCTCATTTTGACGAGAAAAAGGATGAGGAATGGATCGAATATCTCCCTCCGGACCAAACTAATCTGCAGGTATGTCCGCGCCTGGAAGTTTGTCGTCAGAGATTAAAAGAGTTAGTGGCAAGTCCCATAGACGCCTTCCTTTCATTAAAGCTTACCATCCATGTATAATATGTATGTTCGATATTGGAGTCCTGTCATTGGAATGAGTGGTTGATTGTCGCCACAATTTCGCCCTTACTTTAGCCGCCAATTCAGTAAGAGTGGAAGCAGTTCCACCATGGCGGCCAATGCAATGTTTGTCGTGAACAATAAGAAGAAGAGAGAGATGTCGACGCTGCAGCGGAGGAGCCTCTTCCTCATGGCCAACAGCATCCATGAAAACGGAAGAGTGAAGAGAGGATTTTTCAAATCCTTTGCTGAAGCCAACGGTGTGGCGCCAAGAACCGTTTCAGCCACATGGCATAAATTGCGCGCAAAGTTTGAGGAACAACATCCAGAGGCAACAATATCGAAGAAGCCATCTCCAGCATTAGCCATATATAGTTATCGTTCAGAATCCAAGAAGATATCACAGTGCAAGAGATCAGCGTGAAATGGATGCAGCGTAAGCTGTGGGTTTGTATAGGGTACGGTTGCAAGCGAGGTCAGAGTGAATAAGATAGAGACCATCTCGGGATCCTGCGGCTGAATAATGCCGAGACAGAGCTTAATATCACCATTGATGAATGAGAGAAGAAAGCTGTTGTCCGTGGTCTCTCTGCTCCACTCTCACTAGCCACAGAGAAAATGGTTTAGCTACTGCCTGAACAAATTGAGGACTACGATCAAGGAGGCTGGCATACGAGGAGTCAAATCTGAACTGCAAATTCGAGACACGCGTCGGACTGAGGCGTCAATGGAGGGTGAGAAGTGGTCCAATCGTCAGCAATCAGGAAGACGTTCACATTGGATGAGAAGTAGAGTACATCTCAGCGGAAAGATATCCGTGAAGAAGGAAAGCGAGGCTGCAAGCACAAGGGCTATATCAGCAAGATAATGTTCATGAGTGCGATCGCTCGACCACGGACTCTTCCAGATGGAACTTACTGGGATGGAAAGATTGGCATTTGGCCATTCGGCAAATTCGAACCGGCAAAACGTGACAGTGTCAACCGGAAAAAGGGAACTCTTGAGTGGAAGAACCAATCAGTCGACACAGAAGAGTACCGGTCCATGATGCTGAACAACGTCATCCCAGCAATCTGCAACAAGTGGCCAGCTGGAGAGTTCTCGAATCCTCACATGAAAATCCGAGTTCAGCAGGATGGCGCTCCTGCTCATTTTGACGAGAAAAAGGATGAGGAATGGATCGAATATCTGGAAGCGATGGGCCTTACCGACAAGCTTGTGCTGTACACTCAGCCACCCAACTCACCCGACCTCAACTGCAACGACCTTGGTTTCTTCCACGCCATTGATGCCGTGTACCAACGTGAAAATCCAAAGAAACATGGCGACATCATTGCCTGTGTTGAGAGGGCATACTGGGCATTCGATCCAAAGAGGCTCAACCACATCTGGTTGACACACATGTCTGTCATGAACGAGACCTTGAAAGCCCATGGCAACAACGACTTCAAAATTCCTCACATGAAAAAGCAACAACTTGAGCGAAATGGGATGCTTCCTAAAGTTCTCGATGCCGTAGAAGAAGCCCGCGACATGCTGCAGGTAGCCCAGAGTGATGCAGAGGGAGCCATGGTGGAATGAGTGAAGTTAATAGAGTGCATCGAGCGGTAGGGCCGTCGTTTTCATCATTGTCGACTTGGTTGGATTACAGAAATAGTGGGTCGAGCGAAATGAGATCCTCAACCATACGGATGACGTCAACCGGTTAACTGAACCGTTGGTTTAATTAGGTGCGAACTGAACCGTTTAGGTCTATGTATCCATTCCCTTCCGAGTTGGCCGTGCTAGCGTAGAAAATGTACCAGGCCCACGTAACTACACTCTAACGGTTTGGCGTGGCTGGAGTTACATACTGATTAGTTTGGTCCGGAGGGAGTATTGATAGTTGAAGCCTTGAAGCGCCCCAGTTGTTGGCTATTGTTTTCTGTTACGTTATCCACACAACTGTCTGACTGGCTGCATGCAATAATGGCCAGCCAGCTGGGGTTTGCACATGGTACGCTGTACTGGTATTTCGCATGCTTGTACATGGGTACTGCCGGGAACTGGAGGTCGCTGGCTGCTGGCTGCCTCGAGACACGATCTTTGGATCATCTGCTTTCTTGAGTTGTTGCCTCCCACATAACATACATGTACTCCAATAAAAGAACGTCAGTCAAGGTCAGAACCAAACTTTTAGATTTCAGCCAGCCAGCCAGCTAGCTAGACTAGTCAGTTCACAGAGCTGTTCACGGCCAAGAATTTCTGCCCAGCCAACGTTGAGATATATATTATGCACAAGTACAAGTATGACATACCGTAGCTAGCGAGTTCATGAAGAGGCCGCCACTTTGCCCACCAATTCCATTGGTCATCGCTCACCAATACTGGTACTACTAGCTAGCTAGTACAGTACTAGCTAGCTACTAGCTAGCTAGAGTAATTGCAATTGGCAAAATTGGAACCCACCGGTCCACAAAGGTCGCAATATTCGAACAGTCGATAGAAAATTCGGATGAACAACGAATTTTATTTCTTTGAGCCATCCAATCCGCAATCAATCGAGTCGAGTCCCACTTGACATACTCGACTCAAGAACTGAGGTCAGTTCGAGAAGAATCGAATCGAATCGAATCGATCGGAGAAAAAGGAAGGGATGTCCAATCCCGCTTGGATCAACCTCTTGTTCTTGGTGGTTGAATCGAGTACTGGAGCACTTGTACTCCGTAACCTAGTGCATGGAAACAATTAAGAGGTTCACGCATTGACGCTTGACCTCATGTAAGCGGTCTGAATTCGTTTGTTACAGCGTCTTTACTTTACTTACTGAGTATGAAAGATTGATACTGCTCCGAATTGCCCATTGACCCGAAGCTTGACGAATGAACTGGTAGTAAGTGGATACTGGAGTACATGTATGTTATGTACTAGCTAGCTAGTACATAGTAGACTATTAATATACTAGCTAGACTAGTAGTACAGTCGTACTCGAGGATGGAGGATGGTGGATGGAGGAGATAACGTGAGCAGTAAGTGTGACTGAGTTGAAATAATTGGGTTCCTATTGTTCTGGGGCATAAATCGTTTGAGAGCAGGCCCTTTAAACGAGCCACGTCACTGTGCTTTAAAGTGAAAAAGAATCCACGTTAGCCGGGCGGAAGAGTGAAACAAGGCAAAAAAGCAGGAACCTTTATTTTTTAAGCAATGCACAGTGGTCGTTTTGAGGTTGGAGTGGAGTGTGAGTGGAGTGACCTGTGAGTGTGAGTCGAGTCAGAGCAGATCGCATGATCGCATTGATTGATAGATTGTTGATTGATAACCTTCAACCATCATCGCCTCCGCAGAATAGAAGTACCACATACTGAATGATGCTTCCTCAACAGACAACAATGGTTTCGAGTTCGAGTAACAACAAGAGCAACAACAACAAGAGCAACAGCATGGGCATGAAGACTCTAAAGGCTGGTAAGGGTACTGGTATGCATAGTAGCGTAGGTGTAGGTGTAGGTGTAGGTAGTACTGGTAGTGCAGGAGGAGCAATGCCACTGATTTGTGTGCCTCAGTTACACAAGAAGCGATTTCACCGCGAGAAGAAGAACATGAAGTTGC